AAGTAAAACTTAATCATGCTTTGAAATTGTATTATTGTGCTCTTTGTGTTTACAAGATCCCTTTGCATTCATAATCATGCATTGTCAAAAATGGAACTTCTAAAAGAATGAAGGACTTTCTGTGAAGAATATCACTTTGTTTTGATCAGAGGCTACCAGTACAGATCAGTTTAGTTTGTGTACAGAATGTGAATTATATCGTGTCAGGGACGATGTAGATCATATCCGATAGACCTAGTGCAAAATATTGGAATTGGTGCGAATGATGCAGGACTACTCGACTATTCGCTCAACTACCCACACTGATAAACCGGCAGGTTGAATTTTCTGGAAAGTGGTGAAATGTTGGGCAGATAAATGCAGGTTCGAAATCAGTTAATGTGAGCCGTATTACTGTTCTAGATTCCGGATTGTTTCAAACACTGCTCAGGTGACGAACTTCTAAGAATTACCCGTCTAGAACTTTTCTTTCACACTTTTGATCATCTTGATTAGTCTATTAGTGGGCCAGATAAATGGCATGAACCCGTCACACTTATCAGCTAATGGTTAGTGGGTAAGCGCCTGGATGAATGAGAGAAAGAGACTGGACCTTACCGTAGTGTGACGGTTTGCGCACCTAAGCGATCCCTTGAGGTATACTGGGGAGCGTTCCCATGACACTCACAGTCTCTCATACCAGGGGGGAGCGTTTGACACTCACAGTCTCTCATACCAGGTTGATCAATGGTTAGAGGTCTGACGAACACAGTCTTCTGGCCCTCCAGGTTGAGTGAGGGAACATGTGGCGACTTGTTCCGTAGAAATGGTAATGCATTTGCATTTCCAGCCGAACACCGCTGCCTTGCGGTTAGGCTTTTGAGCCAAAGGCTTTGGTTGAGGACCCTAATCGTCCTCCTGTCTAGGTGTGGGCGCCCTGGCAGTATCCCAGCCCACGTACAACCATGAATAGCACATACACAAATAAACTCATGCCACATCGGCCGTCGCGTGGTGCCATTAGCCGGGTCGCCTTACTTGCTGCATACAGCAGGGCTGGTAAGCGAAAACAGGCTACTGCTGACGCCTCCCTTCTTTCTCCTTCACATACTTTTTCTCCCCCCTCTCCCCACCCCATTAATAACTCTCTCCTTGTAGGCCCAGCACTTAGGACTGATGACTCCATTCGTCATGCATC